TTCAAGAAACACCTTCAACCAAATGCCTTTATTTTGAAAGGAACCAAAGCTTTCCAAACAAATCGATTGCTTTGTCGAAATGATTTGGAGGGCCGAAAGGGACCCGGAACCTGCATAAGAGATCGTAACCAGAACTGACGCTGTAACAGCCGCTACATTTTCTTCTTCTTTTTCTATAAAAAAATTTATAACATATTTTGAAAAATAGTAAAACAGGAACTATTTATTAAATTAATAAAACAAAAAAAAATCAATTTGACACAAAAAACAGAGCACAACACCAAAACAACAAAATCGGGCAAAACTAGGAACAATTCAAAGAGGGAAAATGAAATAACAGTGAAACAAAGAGAAGTGAGGAGAACAATAAACCAAAAATAATCATTGAAGAAATACAAAATAATCTTAATCTTTAATATCCAAATTGTCCAAAACAAATAATGCTAGATCGAGACTAGCCATAAATACGCCACCGTCCAATTCCCTGAATCCCTAAACATGTTAAACACCCCTAGAATCAACTACGACAAAGGCCCGTGCAACCCCAACCACCTAAACACCTTAAACTAGATAGAAAAGGTAACCTTGCACAAGACAAATAGGTGATCAACTAAGTCCACCTTTCCAACATTCACATCACAACCCACATTACTAGTACTCAACATAATTTGACATCTCAAGAGATTTTTCCTAGTCGGTAGTTTATTCTAAATCAGCTGCTAAGAGAACACAAAATCTTTAGAAAGGAGCCTAGCTCTTAGAAACATTAGGGAACCCCTAAGCATCGACTGAGACCTAAAGATAGGTCCATTAAAAATATTTGTGGAGATTCTCCAAAATAGCTCCAAAATAAGATTTGTTTCTCCAAATAGCTCCTCTAAAAAGATTTGATTTGATTTGAATTCAAATTTAAATCTCATTGATTTAAAATTAACCTAATTAAATAATTAAACAAATTAGATTGTTAAAATATAGCAACAATCATTGTTGCACAACAGCAGAAGAATACACTCAAATCAACTAAAAAATGCATGTACACATCAACAACGTTGTTCTGCAGATAAAGAATAGATGTTGCACATATTCTGGAACATTTGTTCCCACATGTGTCTTTTTTTCACAGAAGCAACGTCAACAAAACATGTTGTTTTGCATAATACATTCAACCTAAAAGGAACAACAAACTCTCCATTTCAGAAAGCTAAACAACATTCTTCAAACACACAAGATGTGCAACAAAAGTTGAGCATTAAGCACACCACACACATGCACGCAGAGAAAACATCAACATCAAGAGAAATTAGAGTAACAATAACACACATCAGTAGCATAGTCAGAAGTCAAATGGTTTCCACACACACTCAATGTTCCATAATAGTCGATCATGCAATCACAAACTCAATCAGTCATGCATGAACACATTGTAGTTAGTAGTCAGGTCATAATCAACAGAGTACTACTAACATATATAGACCAGCACACATAGTTCACTGTCACATGCTTCAACATGTGTGCATAAATACAAAACCATAACACTTAGTACCATACACATCAATTGGTTAGTACTGAGTGAACAACAACATCAACACATATCACAAGGTAGAAGAACACAAAATATTGAAGCTTTTTTGTCTTACAATCCATCCTAAATAATGATGCATACGAGTTTGGGACGATTATATATAAATTAGGATTAAGGTAAAATCTGTTTAACGAGTGCTTTTATAACAAAATCAGATTATTTTATCCCTCAATTATTACGGAAAACAAAAGGATAAATCTTTAGTATACATTTATAAAGAAATAAAAACATAAATTACAATGACTGAGATTCAAAGCATGTTCTGAATTGGTTTTTCCTTCGTTTATATTAAAGACCGGGGGAATACGTGATTTTTATTTTTAAAATAAATAAAATACGACGCACCTTATTATACTTCAATTATTTATTAGCTGACGTGAAAGCTTTGTCATAAAATATATTATTAATAATAGTAATTATAGCTTCAACTAAAATATTTATAAAAAAGAAGGAAATTACATCCTCTGAGAACCTAACTTTTATATTATATTTGAATAAACAACTTATTATACAAATACTTAAAAAAAAAACACTTATAAATGAGTTTAATAATTTTTTAATAACAAATGATAAAATAAATTTATATATTTTATATTAACTATAGTTTGTTTTCATAAACTTTTTTAAATCTTTTGTCAGGATTTTTCTAATTCTTGTGTAAATAGGTTGAGTTCTCATTTATATGTCATCTTACTTACACACACAAAAAATAAATTCTTTTAAATAATTTTTAAAAGTAAATCTTAAAAAATTTATAAAAAATCATTTAAATTGTTTTAGTATTGTATCATAAATAATATCACAAAAAATTATGCCAATAAATAAATTCAAATAGATCAATCCAAGTATATCATTAATTTCTAATTCACCCTCCCCAATAATAATAATAATAGAAATAGACAAACATTTCCGTTTTTCTATTCGAGCGTAATTGGCTTTGAACTAGTTGCAAATTATCTCAATCACAACGTGAGTCAATTATGTACTAAAAAAACACGTCTGTCACATATGTGTTTTGTCAAAGAAAACAACTTGTCAATATGATTGTAATGATGTATCCCTTTTCTAACTCTGCTACTACTTTTTTCTCCCTCATCTTTAGGAAAGCTTAACTTTTATAACGACTACTTAAGCAGTATTTAAAATTGATTTCGTCTTACAAATTAAACTAGATTTTAATGAAAACTACAACTACTTTTTAATTTTCAAGAAAATTTAAAAAATTATATATATAATTAGAAGTTATAAAAATTAACTTCTATATATTGAACGAAAATTCTTCAAAAATATGGATTTAGATAAATAATTAGAGGGAAGTGGAGATAAAAAATTTGGGATAATGATATTTTAAGAAAAATTAAAAAAAAATTATTATTAAAATTTGTTAAAATGAATCCCTCAAAATTTCTCAACCTCAAATTCTTTTATTTTTTCCACTCCTTCATTTTCCTTTTTAAAACATTTCCTCCATTCCTTTTCAATCTATCAAACTAAACTTAAAAATTAATAATTTCAACTCTCCTATTACCACACTCTGAGTAAATACTTAAGTTTTGTTTGAGAATTTGGAGAGAAAGGGAGAGAAAAGTTTTAATAAATAAGAAGGATTTAGTGAAAAGAATAGAAATGTTTTGGTTTGGAGGGTTTTGAAGAGTTTGTTTTTCTTCATAACACTAAAAATACTTTAATTTGAAGGAATTCAAATTTTGTATTGAATGAGAGTTTTGGAGGAGTTACATAAAATTTTCAAATATCTTTTAAATTATTATAATATTATGAAAATAAAAAATATAATAATAATAAACATTATTTTATGATTCTATACAAAATTATTATTTTTTTCAAAAAATATTAAATATTTTCCATATTTGTTTAAAAATATATTTTCGGAAGTCTTCGATTCTCTTCTATTCCAAACTCGCCAATAAAACCTTAAGGATGAAAGAGCAGGGAAAGTCATGTTATGGAGTGGCTAGAGACATCCAGACATTCATCTTAATAACATATTACGTCGAGATAATTTGACATGATGTGGTTTGATCCATCTAAAAATCTCATAATGATATAGTATTTTCAAATAGATTAGTGATTGTGAAGGATATGGAAGACATGAGTATTCTTTTAACTTGAAAATAGTATCTTAATATACCCGAGGGAAACTCCTTTACTTTCTTGGCATGACCCAAGAACCGTATAGGATATATGAGGAAATAGCAATATGAATGTGTTTGACCTCCTTTAGGTGTGTTTTTGCTGCTTCGGGAGAAATTGATTGCCGTGGGAAAATTGGTTGCCGTTTTTACTAGTACTTGAGTGAGGAGCTCTAGCAAATGTTCTTTGGTGCTTTTATTTTTTTTTATTTTTATAAAAAAATAAAAGCTGGATAGAACGTTTCAATATTAAATGTAAATAATTAGTGACGTGATTTTCACTTCACAAATTAGTGACTTGAAAATCATGTGGCAAATAAAGTATTGCTCTGACCTCTGTGTCTCTTACGTCTGCTTCCACTATAAAGTTCAGATATTTGCGCAAATAAGTTACGACGTGATTTTTCTATCACAACTTTATGACATGAAAATTACGTCGCAACAAATTTGCCACACGCTTCCCAGTCACGTGATTGTTCACATCACAATTTAGTGGTTGTGACATAGTTTTTCACGTTGTGACGTATATTTCACGTGCGAGTTTTTTTTTTTTATAGTGATATTGGTATTTTTTTGTTTTGTTGTTATGAATAAATGGTTGTGTTGTATAGTTGATTTTTTTTTTTTTTTTGGTTTTGATTTTGTTGGATTGCTTTGATACCTATTTTACTTTTACCAACCTCTTTTTTTTATTTTTTATTATTGGCCTTCTTTTTTATATATATATATATATATATATATATATATATATATATATATATATATATATATATATATATATATATATATATATATATATATATATATATATATATATATATATATATATATATAAAGTAAAAGAATTTTTAAGAAATTAATACGCCACATCTCTTTTCAAAATTTTACATAACAGATTATCTGATCACCGTTCTTAGATATTTAACATTTAACACTTAATTAAAGCACTTGTTTGTAAAAACAATGTCATAAACTATCCTATTACAGCGCTTGTTGAATAAAGCGGTTTAAAAAAAATATCATTCTAGATGTCTCGTAACAAAAATCTAGCATATTAACACCACTGACAGAAAAAAAAAAAGGGTAATTGAAAAAATATCTAAGTTGCTAGTTACTATAGAAAGTAGAAATTTCTAGAGACTTTAACAGCCACTAAGATATGAAACCATTATTTCTTTTCCTATAAATATAGTTCAATTCTCCTCTTTCATTCTCATCCATAGTTCAACATCTAAACACACAAAATATTAGTTCTTTATTTCTTAACAATGGCTTTCAACAAGCTTAGTGCACTCATTATATTGCTTTCTCTTCTTTCTTATACCATATTTTCACATGCTTGTGAATCATGCAACCCAAAACCTAAGCCTAGTCCTCCACCACCTTCGAAAAATCCTACGCCTTGTCCTCCACCACCTTCAACAACACCTAAGGCCAGTCCTCCTCCCACTCCTTCAACAACACCTAAGGCCAGTCCTCCTCCTACTCCATCAACAACACCTAAGGCCAGTCCTCCCCCCACTCCATCAACACCTAAGGCTAGTCCTCCTCCTACTCCATCAACACCTATCACTAGTACTCCACCTCCTTCAACAACACCTACGGCTAGTCCTCCTACTCCTTCAACATCACAAAAATGTCCTAGTGACACTTTAAAGCTAGGTGTTTGTACTGATCTTCTTGGACTTGTTAATGTTGCTCTTGGATCACCTGCTTCAAGCAAGTGTTGTGCATTGATTCAAGGTTTGGCTGATTTGGATGCAGCAATATGCCTTTGTACTGCTATTAAGGCTAATGTTCTTGGTATCAACTTGAATGTTCCTGTCACACTCAGTCTTCTACTTAGTGCTTGTCAAAAATCAGTTCCCTCTGGTTTCCAATGCTCATAGACTTTCACGTTATAAGTACAGATACTTATGCTACTTCTATTTTCACTATTGTTTTTATTATAGTTATTGTTTATGTTAATAATTGGAACCACTATGAGTTTAACAAAATCACGGTAACATCGTAATCTTGCTAAATTATCATCAATCCAAATGTACTTTGTGTTATTTCAATAATGGAGTAAGCATGTTTGCTTCATTTAACTTTGTTCGGTTTAATTTTAATATACTTGGGAATTTTTTATTAATATTTGCATTGAATGGACTATGGTAACTTTTTACGTGTTTATTAGATTTGTGACAATTAGACCAGAGCATGGTATATTTCTTTGCACATTAAAATTGCAGTCACGCCATCTTGTTAGTGCGTAAGACACTTTTAGTGAAGAAAGAAAGATAGAATAACAATAAAAATAAAGATTTATATTATTCAATTATATAAATAATGATACAGTCTAAAATTATTTATATGCACTTCTAATTGGGTTTGAGCTACACAACTTAGATTATATTTAAATATTAAATCTAATGAAGTTTAATTTAATATTCTACCAAATTTATATTAATATTTCAACACACACCCATAATGTAAGTTGTCGAACATATTCTAAAATAGTCAATCTGAACTATTCCTAATTTCTTTCTTAAATTCAGGAATCTGTCGATCTTAAACCTTTGGTGAAAATATCAGCCAATTGTACTTCACTCGAGCAATGCCTAATTTCAAGTTCACCTCGATTTACCTTTTCCTCAAGAAGTGAAACCTAGCTTCGATATGTTTACTTCTTTCATGCAGAACTGGATTCTTCGTCAGATTTATGGCTGACTTGTTGTCGATTTGCAATACAAGAGGTTTTTCACTTCGACAATCATTTCTTCAAGTACTGATCTGATCCAAATTTCTTGAAAAGTAGCATAGGATCCTGCTATATATTTAGCTTCACACGAAGACAATGCCACCACCAGTTGCTTCTTCGAACATCACGAGATTGGAGCACCAAATACTTGAAAGAAATATCCAGTTGTGTTTCTTTGATCTTCCTTATCTCCACACGAATCAGCATCTGAAAAATAATTAAGTATTTCTTCTTTGCCTTCAGAATCTCGTCGAAATAGTATTCCATGATTTATTAAACCCTTCAAATATCTCAGGATTCTTCTTACAACTTTCATATGTGTCACTCTTGATTCACTCATATATCTGCTTACTAATCCGACTACGAAACCTATATAAGGTCGACTGTTGCACACATACCTCAGAGATCCAATAATTTGTTTGAACAAAGTTACATCGACTTTGTCTTTCTCTCTATTCTTCTCCAACTTCACATTTGGTTCGACAGACGAGTATGCAAGATTCGAATCATCCATTTTGAATCTCTTGAGTATCTCTTTGACATACTTCTTTTGATGTAGCACCATACCTTGCTTCGACATTACAAATTACATACCTAGGAAATAAGATAATTTTCCCAGATCCGACATTTCAAATTCCTTCATCATCAGCTCTTTGAACTTCGACAAGTTCTACAAGTTGTTTCCAGTTACAAGCAAGTCATCAACATACAAACAAATGATTATTATATCTTATGCTACAACCTGAACACAAACACAATACTCAGATTTGCATTTCACAAATCGTAATTCGACTAAGTATGAGTCGATCTTCTTGTTCCATGCTCTAGGTGCCTTCTTGAGGCCATAGAGCGCTTTGTGCAACTTATATACTTTACTCGCTTCCTTCTGAATCACAAACCTTAGAGGTTGCGTGGCATAGACCTCTTCGTCTAAAGGACCATTAAGAAATGCTGATTTCACATATAAATGAAATGTCGATCAGTCTTGGTTGTATGTTAATGCTACCACTAGTCGAACAGTCTCCAATCTTGCTAATGGGGCAAATACTTTAAAGTAGCCAAGTCCTTCTCTTTTAAGAAACCCTTGGATTCTAATCATGCTTTATGTATTTCTATCGAACCATCAACATTGTATTTCAACTTGAACACCCACTTCAATTCAATATATTTTGTATGTGCCTGAAATTCGACCATTTTCCATGTGTTATTTCTTTCGATTGCCTGTAACTCTTCTACTCTAGCTAACTTCCACAATTTAATCTTTAAAGCTTCATTATGGTTGATTGGTTTAGCACCTACAAGTAAATCAAAATGAACTAATTCTCTATCTGGCGTGACTTCATCATCACACACCACTTCATAATCACGAAGTCTTGTTGAAGGAATTCTATTTTGTTGAGGTCTTTGGCTTGTTTCAGCCACATCCTCTTCGACTTCGACATTGTCTAGAATGTCAGCATCTTCTTCGACTTCGACTGGAATATTTACAATATCTTCTACTTCGACTTCATCAGTTTCTCCGTCGAGTTCACAGCTCATCAATGGCTTATTAATTGCATCATTTGAATTCCAATACCAAGCAAAATTTTCATCAATCACAATATCTCTACTCAACATAATCTTCTCATTAATTGGATTGAGTAACCTGTATGCACCAGTTTTATTATATCCCACTAGAGTCATACGTTCACTCTTGTCATCAAGCTTCCTTCTTCTCGCATCAGGAATATGCTTGTAACACATAGAGCTAAACACCTTCAAATTACTACTGATAGTCGTTTTCCACTCCATACTTCTTCATGAACCTTATTCTTTAATATCTTTGTAGGACACTTGTTCAAAATATACGCTGCAGTCGAAACAACTTCTCCCCATAAGGATTTTGGCAAATTCTTTTGCTTCAGCATGCATCTCGTCATATCTAATATGGTTTTGTTTCTTCTTCTACAATTCCATTATGTTAAGGAGTATAAGGAGTAGTTACCTCATAATCAAAACCATATTCTACACAGAATTTTTCAAACATCTTCGAAGTGTATTCGCCACCTTCATCTATTCACAGAACTTTGATTCTCTTCTCACTCTGATTTTCGACAAGTATCTTGAATCTCTTAAAGATTTCGAATACTTCGTCCTTTCTATGGATCACATAGATCCATAGTGTTGAACCCAAAATTTTCCCTCTCATATTTCTCAAAACAATTCAAGAAAAATCTCCAAGTTGCTCAAGTTTGCTCAAGAGTTGGACAGTAAAGTTATCTCCTAAGGCAGTCAATCCCAAATTAGGGTTTTGTGTTTCCTCAAGATCCTTGAGTCCAAATGACATCAAGTAATCCCCAATGTCCTAATATGTTCTCAAGATCATCCATGTCAAGTTTCAAGCCTTGCAGAGGAAGTTTGGTCAGTCAATTGCTCAAGGGGTCCAAAAATCGACAGTGCTAGGGCAAAAGTCAACTGTGACCCAATTACAGTCAAACCTCAATATTTTTTGTCAAAATTCTCATTTTGAAGGATATTTCATCATTTGATCAAGGTTTGATCATGATTCATCAAGGATTGCTCAAAATTCATCAAGACTCAAAAGTTGCTAAATTAGGGTTTTACAGGAAAAGTCAACTCAATTTTGACAAAGCATAACTTTCTCATACTTTATGATAAATGAACTATCCAAAGCTCATTTTGAAGAGGATGAAATTTCCTACAATCCATCTTCACACCCAAAGATCATAAAATGCACTCACAAGATGTTACAAATTTAGACATTATAGGTCATTTTTGAAAGTCAACAAAAACACCTTTTTTGCCAAAGCTTTTAACTTGAGCATGGAATATCAAAATGAGATGAGACCCAAAGGGTTGGTTAGAGAACATCTCAATATTTCTAAAAAGTCCAAGAACACTTACAAAAGTTCAGAATTGAAGAAGTTATGCATTGTTGAAGTTGGGCATTTTTGCGAAATTGCCAAAAGTCAATTATCCCCAAAACTTCAAATTTTGTCAAAGGGGCCCATTTTTTCCCACTCGATTTGATCTTTCCACATTGCACACGTGTCCTAGCTTCAGCCTTGTGTCCATTTATCTATTTATTTTTTTTATTGAATTATTTCATTTTAAATCAATTTAAATCAAATAAAATCACAAGACTTGATTACATGAGATCTTTTTCTATTTTCAGGACTTAATCATCATCATCAAGTGTATCAAATTTGTATCAAGTATTCCATGTGCAAAAAGATTGAGTTTTTGGCAAATTAGGCAAGTTATCAATGGTGAATCAAATCCAATCTCAAGGCATCAATGTGCAAGGATTCAGTCCATAAAAGTTGATCTAATACATTGTATCATACATATATAATCCAAGGCACACGAATTTGAGAGCAAGAGGCTGCAAGAATACCAAGAACAAAACTTGAAAAAATTGACAAAAAGTGTGAGACTGAAATCAAGCTTGGAGGAACTTTCAGGACTTAACACGCATCACAATCGCTTCCTGGCAATTCTCAGAAGCAAAACCAATCAGAATCACTCATTCTCCAGCCTCCTAGAGCACTGTAAGCATCTCACAAATCCGCTATGTTCACGAAGTCCCAAATCTTTATTCTTGCATCCATTGTCAAAAACAATTGCATATTCTGATTCCTCACATCATTTATTAACTTTCTGCAATAACCAATTTCATTCTTATGATGTGTATCGTAAAACACCATTGTAGGGTTTTCTAGTTTTTTTAGGAGTTTTTATTATAGGAAAAATTAGCTATCAAAAGGGGCATGGTTGAGACCGGGATGAGTAGGCGAGTATGACCATGCCTTTGGATTGCATTTTTGTGGCTCGTAGCAAATTCTGGAGATGACATGGCTTATAGCTACGGACTGTTGTCCGTTGGTATAGGTTGAGAGTGTTTTAGCCACGGTCCAACGAGAGGGACGATGGCGTGTCATGCTCCAATTCGCTTATTCAAAAATAGCGCGCTTTATTTTGTTTTCTGATCCATTAATTTGTTTTTGTCTTATTATTATTAGTTTTCAATACCCTAACAACTAAAGCACAATGGTTGAGTGGCAAATGCATGCATCCAAATACCAACAGGACCTGGGTTCGAATCCCAGGTCCCCCATATGCCTTGCTATTATTTTTCTTCAGGTG